GAAGTACACTTTAAGTATACTGCTCAAGTGAAAATCGTTTTCTTTGTTGTTGATGTAGGGTACAAGTATACTTTATGTATACTGCTCGAGTGAAAATCATTTTCTTTGTTGTTGATGTAGGGTACAAGTACACTTTAAGTATACTGCTCAAATGAAAATCATTTTCTTTGTTGTTGATGTAGGGTACAAGTATACTTTAAATGTTTGACACAAATGTAAATCAAGTTCAGGTCTGATTAAGTGGGAAATAACTCTACTGAAAAAGTACTGATGCTTCAGTTGATAAAGATCATAATTACTTTAATGTCTCACACAAATGAGAGTAGTAGGAAATAACTATACTAAAAAGGTACTAATTAGGCTTCAGTCGATAAGATCAGATTGGCTGGTTTACAGGTATACTGTACTGTTAGATCCAAGTGTAACATTTTTTTTGATTATTCGTTCTTGCCTAATTTGTTTTTCCTTTGCGTACGCAAATTAGTTTATACTTCTTTTCGTCCATTTGTTTAGTCTTCTTTTTTGGCGTTAATTTAGGTGTTTATCTCTTTCTGTCAGTTTTCGCGCCCTCGTTAGCGTTTCCGTGCTGTTTCATCTTCATTAGCGCCTTTCTATAGTTTTATTTTCCGCATGTTCTAGCGTATTTTGATATCGTAGTTTGTCAGTACAGTTTGTGAGAGCAGTTCCCTTGCGAACTGAATTCCCAGTTTTCTGGGAATTCTCAAAAATTCCCAATTATGCAAATGACCCTTGCAAACCGAATTCCCAGTTTTCTGGGAATTTCTGGGAATTCCTGGGAATTCCTAGGAATTCCTAGGAATTCCTAGGAATTCCTAGGAATTCCTAGGAATTCTCAAAAATTCCCAACTATGCAAATTAACTCTGATTTAAAAAGCTTGGAATTACTGGGAATTTCTGGGAAAGGAAGACTCCAGTTTTGTGAGGACTTGGAATCCCTAGGAATTCCTAGGAATTCTCAGCTTTACAAACTACCTATAATTTAAGAAGTGTGGAACTCTTGGGAATTCCTGGGAATTGAATTTGAGGCAATTTTAATACCCTGAGGTCCACATAAATTCTAAGAAATTCTCAATACCTTGAATGTGAAGGTTTTAAGAAAAAGAGTAATTTCAGAGGCTTAAAACTTTGGCTCAATAAAAGGTATGCTATACAAAACTTACCAAGAGATATACATACATGTACATGTTTATAACTTAAAGATCATGAAATTTATTACTCAAACTAAGTTTTAGTAAATCTTTAAATTAATATGGATTTTCTCATGAACCAGCTGTCAGTTATGTTAAATGGAAATTGCCAATTTTTACAATAATTAACAATAATTACATTGTTATCTTACTTCCCTAACCTACATTACTGGTTGTCTTTGTTAGAAAACCTTGGAACAGTCAAGCTCAGTTGCCTCAAACGCTGTCAGAGACCTTTTTTTGACAATACTTTTAGTAGAAATTTCATGCCTTAGACAAACAAATTCAACACCTAATTAATCTTTCTTTTTTCATGATTGTTGTTCCTGCTTTTTTTCAGTTTTATGCTCTATTTTCATGACTAATTGCTGTAATTTGTTTTGCTGTTTTTATTCTTACAAAACATTTTTGTAAGAGTTCCAATACTTGTGGATCATCCACACACTTTGCAAACATTTGGCATGCAGACAAGACAGAGGTAGTCAATGTACCCTTTGAGGAAAAACACCTTTTATATGACGTCTTCAATTTACTTTATTTGAAACTCTGATCTGAAAATATTTGTCAACAAGACTTGTTAGTAGTGAGAAGTACCAACCAAGTTTCCTTTCATAACTTAATTTCTTAAATGTCCCAATCACTGGATCTCCCAAAAAAATATTACATCTTTTTATTTTTGGTGCAAATTACAAGTCCTTCTTTATATAAAAATGAAAAGTGCTAGTCACACTTCAATAATAACAGCTCTTAAGTTTACTTGTTGTTCTTCTGTCTGTCAGCTATCAACAAAATTGTTTTATACTTCGGGCAGCGCATAACTATTTGTGGACCAGAGTTCCAACGCACCTCGGTAATCGCATATAGCTACTCCTGTCTCTTGCACAAATGTTTCTCCTTTGTAAGACGCACTCTACTCTGTTGTCAATACTGCTTTAAGTTCAGTGGAAACGACTGACTGAGGAATCGAGATGGCGGTGTTGGAACGTGTTGCTGAACGCTTGCTACGGTCAAGCTTTGTAGATTTAGGTACTGGTACACTGGGATCATCTATGTATCTCTTACACTTCCGAATGTGGTATCCTTCTTTTATAAATATGAGGGTAAAAGACGATTTGTAGTCGCATTCAAAACTGTGATTGGCTTGTGTTATTTCTCACCTTTGCCATGAATACAACTCAAGTGAGTTTCGAGTCTTTTTTCCTCGACAACTTTCGGCCACAAATCGTGCATTTGTAATACGATCGATTCTTTTCGATTATTTCTACATAGAGTGAGCTCACATCTTTATTTATATCACCAAGCTGTCCATCTTCTAGAAGCAGAGGACCGGTCGGAGAAGTCAGAATAGAGTTGGGCGCTTCTCTTAACACTGCAATCGGCAAGCCAGCGGATTCACTTTGCTAGCCAATGACAAGTCCTAAAAGATCCACGTGATCATGCCCGTGATCGGAAACAAAGAAGACTCCATTTGGCGCTCATCTTTGAATGTACTTTTCATCGGTTGATCGCTTTTCTCAACTGTTTTGCTTAATATAACATTTCTAAAGATAGCTTTTATTGTGGTTCAATGGGAAAACGAGAATAGCGTGAGTGTTGTAAAAGAGAAGAAAGTCGTTGGCGCCGTGGAGTTAAAAGAAGGGACAACAGTTGACATATGGACCGGTACAAACAAGGGTCGAGTGGCCATCTGTAAAGCTACGATTTTGAAAGTTTGTGGTGAGTAAAAATTGCGATATTCGTTGTGATCAAAATCTTATAAAAGAACAGATGTAGCGGGTTGAATTAAGCTTACATAACGCTCGGCGCAACTGAAACTAGAATAATTCTGAGAATCGAATCGGTCACTTGCATGCCGCAGTTTCTTAAGCTTATGCTTTACAATGAAATAAACCTATCAGTAAGGTTTCAAGATTTCTCCAGTCACGTTTGGGAACATTCAAGATTCATAACAAACCTTAGTACATAAAGAAGCCCTCCTTGGTAAAAACAAAATAATGTATTCAGCCCTTTTTTAGTAAAATCCATGAGAGAGATGTACTAACTCCAATATAAAAGTCACTCAATATAACAGAGATTTCTCAATTTGAGAATCCAATGAATGCCCTTTTCCTCATAGCCATCTTAAAAGCCTGGTCTGAGCTTTAAACATACATATTTTAATATATTATTTTTTTTCAAATTCAGATGTCAAGGAATCCAGATACAAAATGGTCAAGGTTCTTGTTGACAACCTCATTCAAGGCCAACTCATTGTGAGTCCAGGAAAAAAATACAAACAGTACAAACAGCAGCTAAGTTTGCAGCTAAGTTTGCAGTTTAGGATAACTTCATTCTAATTTATTGTTACAGTTACAACAAGATTTTAATCAAAAAATCAATTTTTTGATGTAATTAGTAATTAGCCCCTTCACTCCCAAGAATATAACTATATAAATATAACTTAAGATATTGTATTTTATGGAAAAGAATCAACAGATTTTATTCACAATTTGTGTCAAACCAAATTTAATGATTGATTAGAACTATTTTAGTCCTCTTTACAGAAGTTTTCTCTGGCCAAAACAATTTTCAATCCACACTCTTAGTACCAAGCACGTCGGCTCCAATAAATCTTTTTCTTTTCATTTGGTTTGTGGTGTTATTATTCAAGGCCAGGAGTCTTGCAGGTTTATTGCAGTTTCATGTACTACAAACCAGAAAAAGCCTGCACAGCAAAGTTATCTTCTCAGAAGAATTATATTACACTGTATATTAGCTTTCAACTTTGAAAATACAATCCACACACACAGGTTTGCATGGCGCATTAACATACATATTCTTTGAAGTCATTGTAACTGCAAAGCTTGACACTAACAGAAGCCAACAAGCCACAGACTGGTAAAAATTCAGTTTTGGCTAGTGGTTTTCAATTATTTTCCACTAGACACTGGCTAGTGGGAAAGAATCTGACCAGAGCAAATGCCAGAGAGGGCTTAAATGCTGACATTGTTTCCTCAATTTTGGGTAAGTACATTGCATTTGGTGTTTTTGTCATTTTATTACTATTGGGAATTTGTACACTTGTACATGTTGATCAACATGACTTTCTCAGGGATCAGCCTTGTAAAAAAACTTTGGGACCATCCATATAAAAAAAGTGAGGAAAACAACTCCAAGCAAGTATTCAGAAGTTCCTTTGATCTAAGTGATCTCGGATTATTGATTGTGGTATGAGTCTTTCCAAAGTAACACAACCTTGTTGTCATGCATAAGTCTAAAAAGTTAAGCTCCTGTGTTTCTTTTTCTTTGCAGATTTTGTGGTATTTTCTATTATGATTTGCACAAGGCTTGCTTGCTTCTCTAATTATTAAATAACAAAGTCAATTTTTTGATTATTACATTTTACAACAACCATTTTTTATTGGCTTTAATCCCAACAAGAGACATTGTAAGTGACATTGCTGATTTTCATGAAATTTGTTTCTGTTTTACATGATTGAATGATGAAGTCCATTTTATAGATATTCTTCGTTTTAAAACAATGAATAGTTTTTGTTAAGTATCCCAACATTGTGAGAGTCATTTCTAATTTGCATGGAATTTATTGTTAAAATTTATGAAATAATCCAATGATGGATTTCATTGTAAAATATATATTTTTGCATCAAAAGACAATTTAGAAGCAGTCTTTTATTGTACAAATTTTAGGTTATTTGTCATGGTCAGTTGTACCAAATAAATTAAAGACATGAATTTCATACTTTTGCTTGAATGCTTATCTGACTTGGCCAAGTATATAATACAGCTGAACATATGCCGTATGAACTAGTGGTTGCATGCCTGTTCGTGCATATTAATTTACCTGGCTGCAGGTATGTATGCCATTCATTTATAATATCTTGAATACACTCTAAGTATACTTAAAGTATACTTTAAGTATACTGTACTTGTCAGTTTGCCACTAGTGGTTTTACTCAGGAAGTATACTTGAAGTGCACTGCAAAATTTTCAGTACCTTTCAAGTAAACTTCAAGTATACTTTTGGGTGTTCCAATTTCAGGTGGGAACAAGTATACTACAAGTATACTTTTAGTAGCTCTGTAAACTATACTTCAAGTCTACTGAAAGTATACTTTGTGTAACTTATTTGCAGTACACTTTGATTACAGAAATAGTATACTAAAAGTGTACTTAATTTTGGTAAGGGTACTTGCCAGTAGGTAGTCAAATGAAAAATTTTTACATATCAGTAAAATTTATCGTCGTATTTCATGTTAACATGTTGCAATAACTCTACCTTCCAGTATATTCGACTATTTTCAAACATGAGAAAATACCATCTAAAACTTTTCAACCCATTTAATATAGCCAATAACAACATTTTAGAAATTTTAGCTCTAGCTCGTCTTCTTTTAAAGCAAACCTTTGCAGCGCAAGAAACATGTTAGACGAATTTCGTTAGCTAGAGTTGCTGAGATCATGGCCAGTTGGCTTAAAGAAACCTACATTATAAGAAGTTACAACAGAGGTTACCGAATCAAATAACAGAAAGAATCTCAAAAAGACGCCGTGTATTTCCAGCCAGAGGAAAACATGAAATAATAAAAGCAAGAACGGGAAAAGTTTTAAGAAATTACAGGTTCAAACATAAGTTGAAAATGACTTTTCTTTTTAATTTTTACGCGAAACAGAGGCGGTTGAATCGTTAGGGAAAAAATTATGGCGCAAGCAGTCATACCTGGCAACTTCAAGAGAAGATATAAGAGAAGCCCATACGATTCTGGCGTCTTGATTTACTAATTCACTGGTATCACGTCTATACTCTTCATTCGACTGTTGATGTCCAAACTCGAAGTATTTTACAGTCGTTTCTTTCAATTTTAGCTCATTTTCCTAAACCAAAATTATCATTCGTGCTCAAAAGTATGTAACTTCAACTGATGCTGACATCGCACACTTCCTCTGAAGAAGAAAAGATTCTCTATCTTCGAAAATTTGCTCAAAACATCAGAAACTACAACGAAGTCCTTAGCTGCTTGAAGATACCGCTGACTAGCATGCGTTTTACCGCAAGTTCTGAGAATTCCAGACCTCGCCAATTCTTCCCTTCCCTCCCCATCCCCCCACCTCTTAATCCCCTTGAAGAAACTCTTCTACAGTCAGTGCTGAGGAGTTTTATCACAGTTTTTATTGTAACGAGGGGCTAGAAAATAAACTAACGAGGGCTCCGCTTTTAGGCTTGGCTAAATCTATATATTAATACGTATTTCTCCGTTTGCCTGGATCTTGTAGCTGGTTGGACAATAATAAGCTGACATCTGTACCAGATTTGACAGGTCCTAAGACTTTAAGTTCCTTGTAAGTAACTACAAGAGATTAAAATTTCTTGGTAACTGTTATCTTTTGATATAGCAGTCATTTTATTGTCACGCATGGGAAGTAATCTTACCTCAGAATGTAGATAATATCTTTCACGGGTGAGCTATAAAATAATTCTAAATGTACAGACAGCACAGACAGGTGTTAAAAAAATTAAAAAAATTATTTATCATTCTAGCAATAACCTTGTATTAATACAGTTAGTATGACAAATGAACGTCATCGTCATTAGAACGGGGGACTGTCGAATTTAATTGCTCTTAACTCTTTTTTTCTTCTCAGACACCTACAAGAGAATGAGATCACAGATTTATCAAGAATTGCCACTTCTGGAATTGGACACGTTTATAACCTGTAAGCGTTTGTTCCCTATTGAACTGAATGTTTCATTTTTTGTTTGTTTGGTTGTTTGGTTTTTTTTAAGTGGGTGGAGGGGGGTATTTACCGAGAAACCGGTTTACCTTTTCTTTGGATGCCTATATTCAAGTGTGCACCAGCTCTACTAACGTTTGAAAATGCTGTTTTAATCTTGTAGATTGTTGTCTAACAATAGGATCGATCACCTTCCACCGAACATATTTCACAATACTCTCGTAATAGGGAGCCTGTGAGTAACCAAAACTACAAACAAAGTGGAGTGTTCGTTCTGTAGCTGTCTTTTGATAGTATTACATATAAAAGAAGTCACTCTTACTGTGTATCCATATTTTCCATATCGTGATTTCCTCTATTACAAAGGAAAGACGTGAAAATGCAACTGTCCCTTCAATTTTCGCTAAGATCTACTTTTTTTAAAAGACTTAGAAAATAAGGAGAAATTTCCAGATAACTTTAACTGAGGATGAATCTACCTGTAGCACCTTTTTTGATCCGACCGTTGTTATGTCTCCCCTTGGGTTTTTCAAGAGATATTAAAGAGTTCATAATCGATTGCTTTTTTTTTCGCTTATGTTTTATTTTCGATAACTTTATTTTTCTCATTTCTCCATAGTGATTTGTCATTCAATAAATTGAAGTCATTACCAGATGGAATATTTAATGGACTCGATCAATTAAAGATTCTGTAAGTAGATCAGGAAAACCTTGTAGCAAATGAACTTTACATTTAATAATACATGATCGGGTCGAGATTGCCTCCTTCTCTTAAAACGTTGTTTAACAACTGATGGTTATGTAACTCAGTGAGGACCGAATTTCATAACCTTCTGATCTTATGATGCAGTCCTTGTTATTTGCAACCAAAATGTTTGAAATCATTTGAATTCTTTTCTTTCAAAGGTCGACCACCAGTGATATCATATCATTTTAGCTAAGCAACCCATTGTTACCAATTTTTAATTTTCAAGGGATGCTAGTTACCTTAAAATGAAAACTTTGAATTAGGACATCATAAAGAGTTTTCCTGGAGGTTTATTTCCATTAGTTCAAACCATGACCCGATCCTACCTTGTGTTCATTATCCAAGATGAATAATTACTCAGAAAATGACATCATTTTATGAATTTAGGTCTTTCAGTGTTTTTGACCGATAGCAATTTAATATATGAAGCAGTACTTTCAGTGAGTTTACTTTCAGCACAGAAAAGCACAGAATTGAATTATTTTCGTCCGCAAAGGTGTTAGTGACCGATCTAGCAGCTTATGTTTACATAAGATAATTTAATTTACTCAATCAGCCAAAACTTGATTTGCTCCCACGGTTCTCGTTTTACTTCAGATCGTAAGTAATCGAAGCGACTCAAATTGTTGGGTTTGTGTGTGATCTTCCCATTTTGCGCTGCAGTACGTGAAAAACATCAAAAGGCTCTTCGCTTTAACAAGACTGTGCATGCTAGTTGAGGGAAATATACTCATGCTATGCAATCAATTTTTGCTTTTTTGTTTTTTTGTTTTTTTGTTTTTTTGTTTTTTTGTTTTTTTGTTTTTTTGTTTTTTTGTTTTTTTGTTTTTTTGTTTTTTTGTTTTTTTGTTTTTTTGTTTTTTTGTTTTTTTGTTTTTTTGTTTTTTTGTTTTTTTGTTTTTTTGTTTTTTTGTTTTTTTGTTTTTTTGTTTTTTTGTTTTGTTTTTTGTTTTTGTTTTTTTTGTTTTTTTGTTTTGTTTTTTTGTTTTTTTGTTTTTTTGTTTTTTTTTTTTGTTTTTTTGTTTTTTTGTTTTTTTGTTTTTTTGTTTTTTTGTTTTTTTGTTTTTTGGTTTTTTGTTTTTTGTTTTTTTGTTTTTTTGTTTTTTTGTTTTTCTTTTTGGATCGGTGGGTTGAAATGGAATTTCTAATCCCATTAACTGCCCTGCAACCGGGCATGGTCTTAAATAGACTAAATGCCCGGCAGACAGAAATTTCAAAGATTTTCTACTAAAAGGTTCTTTCAAACTTTTAACGAATATAAGATGTTTGTTTTTAAAAATGTCAAGCGATTCCAAAAATTAATTTGGTTTTCAGTGGACACACTCTCCGTGCTTGATTGTCGACACTTTCAAATTGCATACCTCTGATCAGACTGCCGGGCACCGAAAGGTTCCTGGAAACCTCCTAAGAGTATAAGCTTTTTGTTAGAAAAGGTCAAGCGGTTCCAAAAATTAATTTGTTTTTCAGTGGACAAATCTCCCCATATCCCATAACTCTCTCACAATACATTTTCTAAGTTGTGTGACTCACACACATATTGATTTTTCCCTGTTTTTAGGGTGCTAACCTTCAACAACATCACTCACATTAACAGACGCACATTCAGTGGACTTTCCAGCTTGACCACACTGTAAGTGTCCTCTATGTAAAGGGGGTAAGTTTCTGAAGAAACTGTAGTGCTGCGTCGGTGGGAGAGTAGAGCAGGTAATTCAGTGTTAACAACTGAGTTGAAAGCGTAAATTAGCCACCGCAAAGGGTAAAAATTTTCAAAATTCAGGATGTCAATTTTAAACTTTTTAAACATTTGCACGAAATTAAAGCCCAAAAACTCGACCAACTTATCGGCCCTCAAATTACTAGCGACTCATCGCCTGAAAACCTCAAAACTGTAGTTACAATTCCCGAAAATTTACTACTTTCCGACTCAGAAAAATCACCAACTCATCGGGCTCAAATTTTTAGTTCTCATCGCCTGAAAAAAATCGACGAATCTGTAAGTTAGGCAAGACGTTGAAAATTTACTACTTCCCGCGTTCAGTTGAAAGCCTTTTTTCATGACAAAGAGGATGATTCTAACATCTCGAACAAACATACTTTCGTAGCACTTCAGATTCCAAAATTTCGTCACGATATCAACAAACTTAAATTCAATCGTAACACCAAATTTTCCAATCTTTCTTCGGAAGAGTGGTCGGCACTAAAAAGTCTAAAAAAACGCAAAGATATAGTCATTAAAGCGGCCGACAAAGGCGGCGCAGTTGTTGTTTGACGGGCTGACCTCTACCAAAAAGAAGCTTTGCGGCAACTTTCTGAAACCTCCTTTTATGTTTAAGTCGACAAAGATCTCACTGATTAACCAAAACATCGTCAAGAATACAATTAACGATCTTTAGCTAAACAAGAATTGCCTGCCATTTCCAAAAATCTCGCCATCATTACTCCCAGAACTTCGCGTATTTACTTTTTACCTAAAATCCACAAACCTAATAATCCAGGTCGACCTATCTTTTCTGCCTGCAGTTGTCCCACCGAAATTATTTCCAGCTATTTAGACAAAATTATGGCAACTATCGTCAAAACTTTACCATTTTACATTAAGGACAGCCGACACGCGCAATTGAAATTTTTCGTGACTTTAGTTTCCTCGGCCAAACAAAGTTATTTTCTTGTATTTATGTATATAATATCTCTTTATACTGTCATTCCCAATGACGAAGGTCTCCGGGCCCTCCAACGTTTTTTCGATCACCGCACTGTTAAGGAACCTAGCTCTGAATAACTACTCCGTTTGGCCGAACTAGTACTCACACTTAATCGCTTTTCATTCGGTGGCAACTACTACAAACAAACTAATGGCGTTGTCATGGGTACTCAAATGGGGCCCAGCTACGCCAATCTTTTCGTAGGTTTTATCAAACGTCGATTTTTTAGTCAATACCACATCCATCACACGTCAAGAATCCATACCTTTATCACAATTTCCGACACTTCTTTGGCTTTTCTAGTCATCAAAATTTCAATTGATAGCAACGGTTTATGCACAAGTGTTTAATATAAACCTGCAGATTCACAAAGTTACTTGTTATATTCATCTTCACATCCATCACACGTCAAGAAATCCATACCTTTATCACAATTTCTCAGACTTCGTCGTTTATGTAGTGACGACCCTGATTTTTCCGAAAAACCAGAGGCAATGTGCCAGTTTTTCGATAAACGTAGCTATTCCGTTTCTGTAGTTCAAGCGGGGCACCACCGGGCCCAACAAATTGATCGACAGTCAGCACTACAAACGGCTGAGAAGGAATACACTGACCGCATTCCATTTACTCTTACATTTCACCCTCACAACCTCGCGGTTACATCCATCATTCTTAAAAACTTTAAATTACTCCAAAATGATTCAGAGACTGGCACTATCTTTCCGCAACTCCTACTTATTTCATTCAAACGTGACAAAAACATAGGCAAATTTTTGGTCAGAAGTTCATTTCAAACTAATGACCAATCTGGAACTTTCAAATGCGCTCGCTCACGATGCAAAACTTGTCCCTTCATTCATAACGTAGAGAAAATATCGGGACCCAAGAGATCCATTAAGATCACTGATCACTGTATTTGTACCTCCGCCAATGTCATTTACAGAAAGACGACTAGGTGACCGATTCCGAGAACACCTTCGCGAAGTGGAAAGAAATGACAAGGACGCATCCAAACCAGTTGCCAGACACTTTAATCTCCCTAATCATTCAAAACAGCATATGGCAGTTTGCGGCCTCTCCTAACATCTAGGCAGTTCGGAAAGCCGCAAAACACTAGAACAAAAATTTATGTTGCAAATTGGCACCCTTAATCCCCACGGAATAAACGAGCGTTTTTTATTCAACTAATTTATTCCTGTTTTCTCGTCGCCATATTTCCTCCAATAGCGTAGCTCCACCTTCTGCATATAAACCCACACACAAGCCACAATTCCTCCAATCGCTCTGACGAAGGGTTAACGCTCGAAACCTCAGCTTTTTTACCCTTTACGGTGGCCAATTTACGTTTTCAACTCAGTTGTTAACACTAAATTACCTGCTGTCCTCTGTATACTTTTCTAAGGAGGCGTAAGTCAGGGCTTTGAATAACGTTCAAGTTTTCCACGAACATTGCAGTAGGTATAGTAGGTGTATAGTGGCGTAGTAGATCATGTGCTCGGAGAGGAGGGGGTCAGGGGGCATTGTCCTTCGGAGAAAAATTGAAATCCAGAGCTCAAAAATGTAATTTCCATCATTCTGTGCATTAAAAAGAGTACTTTTTGTCATAATTTCCATTGAAACCTTTGTAATTTACAAGCTATTCCTGACCAATCAGAATGCTTCGTTGTGGAGCGTTCGTGTTTAAAAGAAGCAAATTCGAAAATCGATGCCTCGCAGGGAGGCTCCCATTTCAAGACTACCCCTTCCTCTTCCCCCTGCTGGCTCGTTACTCACTCGTTTGAAAGCCCACGCGAAACCCAAACACAAGAGCCTGCCTACAAGCTAAACGGTGGTAAGAGGTCTGATGGGCAGCGATAGATCACCAGTTACTTGCTTTTACTAAAAGTAAAAGAATAGCAAACTATAGCAGTGCGTCCACTGTAGTGTAGGAAACAAAAGAGTCGCTGTGCTGCATGTAAAAGGGTTTTTAGTCATTAATATAAATGATAAAAAAACCTCTCAACCTCTAATAAGTTCGCAACTTAAAAAGCTTTACATTGAATTCAAACATTGTTTCATAGATTCAGGCACATCAAAATGTTTCATATATCCTCTTCATCAAAATTTCGGAAACGCAGTGTTGCCATAGCCTCGTAAAAACCGTAGGTTATATTAATTTCACAAAAATGTATTGAACAAGATCCACATTTCCAGTGTCCACGGGCAATCTACCAGCGGAAATGTAGGAAATAAATAATTTTTTCAATTTTAATTCATTTACCTATGTAACTATGATAGATGGCACATTTGTAACGTCATGTCCATTATCGTCTGCCATATAAGTCAGAAGTTTGCTATTCTTTCTATTTTACAGACTGCTGATCAAAAACAAACTTACATTTATTGCCAAAGACGTTTTTGATGAGACTCCCAGCCTGAAATCATTGTAAGAATAGACTTTGGTTCTGAGATTTCCGGTAATGCTGTATCATGTGCACAGTCAAGAGAGGATAAAGTGTTATCCGCTATTCTCTCTTGTTATTCTAGATAAGCCTACTACCATATCTATTCTGTTAACACAATGATAATTTTTTAAAAAAATACGTAATTGCTCGTATTTCGAAATCACTTGGAGGTGTTCCCACGTCCTGTTTTTATTTTAAAATATATTGTAAAAGATGATACGTGTTTCTGTTTTTAAAATAAATAACAGTTGTCGTTGATCAGAGAATTTTTTTTTATCTCCTTCTTTCTTCCTTCTCTAAATCAAAATTTGTTATTTTTTTTAACTTTGATAGTTATTTGATTATCAGCGTAATATGGGAATAACCAGAACCAATGCTTTTCGAGGGTAAAGTATGCTAAGAACTATCAAAATGGCTTTGAAATTCCGTCAAATATTCATACCCTTATTCCGAATTCCAATTTGCAATGCATATACGACATCTTTATGTTTGTTGCGCAAGTGGATAATTGCTTCAACCAAATAAATTTTTCCCGTAGGTTTCTTCACAGTAATGCAATTACAAACATTGAAAAGGAGACTTTTGACAGACTCGACCTGAGCCAGTTGTGAGTAAATTGAAGAATAGAATGATTTCCTTTGAAGCTAAAACTTGGAATGTGATACATTAACAAACTAAAATGTTTTATTGTTTTTTCTTAGCGGTTGTTAAGGTGTCAGTAGATGCCATACACATAATTAAAACTCACACCCCCATATCAGGAGCTTTAGCATAACATATCTTGTTTAATGGGTATACACGCGCTTCATTTTCAGAACCATCTTTGATAATCCTTTAAACTCATTACCAGACGGAATATTCGACAGAATGGCAAATGAAACCCAAGTGTAAGTCAAGTCGTATGGCTTAAAAGCTATATATATAAAGTGTAAAATTTTGACTTTCGTAAAACAGTGCTCAATACACAGGAGCAGAGCGATGTATATATTGTGGGAGGAAAAAGACAAATAAAGTACAAGTTCATCCCTACAAGCCTGTTTCGTGATTGCCCACTCATCAGGGGATTTAATGAGAGTAATCTTTACCATCGCCTATATACAATATAATCTAATTTATGCAGCGCGAAATTAAACAATTTAGTTGTTGCGTGGGAGGGCTTTGTTTCTGTGGCGGCAGGAAGACACGAGTTCATTACGTTTGTTTAGTGTTAATAGTTCGGGTCGGCAGATGATTAGGAATTGTTCTCTGAGGCAGAAATTACATCTTTTACTTGAGCTGTTGTACGGCAACTACGAAACAGGCTTGTTTATTTGTCTTCTTCCTCCCACAAAATATATATATATATATATATATATATATATATATATATATATATATATATATTATGAGAGGAAAAAACGACGCAACTACATATCCCGACAAGCCTGTTTCGTGAATCGCTTCACTCTTCAGGGGTTTAATGAAGAGTGAAGCGATTCACGAAACAGGCTTGTCGGGATATGTAGTTGCGTCGTTTTTTCCTCTCATAATATTTATTTATTCTGCTCTGCTTCAACGTATTGAGCACTGTTCCACGCGAAAATCGACTTACAGACTTCCTATATATATATATATATATATATATACACGTTACATTTGTCGAATTTGTGTTAATTTTTTTACGGCTTCACGTTCTTGGCTATATTGGTATACGTATAAAGTTTCTCGAACCGGTCTTTCGTTTTTTTTTTTTAACCTTAAATAGCTTTCATTATCCAGTAAAAAAAAAAGGGGGGGGGGGGGGGTAGGGTAGATAAAAGAAGATGTATTTTCTTCCAAACAAGTTGCTTAAAGACCCTCAAAGCTAAGGAAACCCGAGTATGCGGTGGCGACGATATCACCTGCCACAATTCTATTAACCAAAATCACGTCAGTATTTATACCCAAAAGTTTTATATTCAGTTTATTGTACAAATTATGTACAGGGCATTGACGTGTAAAAATCTTCGTCAGCTGCCTCTGGATAAATATGTGTCTAAAATGTAAGTACGCCTTAAGTTTCATTTTCTTCTCACGCTATAGAATGATAAACATCTGCACTGACGTTCTATTTTGAATAGATTCAATTCTGTCAACATTTTTCAATTAGCATTTCACAGATTTCTTCTTCCTTTCCATTACAGAAGGTATGAAAAAAACCAAAAAAAAAACTGTAATCAACTTTTAAAACAACTATTGATCTTGGTCATTTCAACTTGTCGAGACTTATCAGTGCCATCGGCTTTGGCTATTGATCTCTTCACGGTAAAATCACGACATTGTTTTCAACCTAGTTTTTTTATTCATTGTCATTGCCCAATCAATCCTCAGTGAGTGTGCTCCCACGACATCTCTGCACGTCATTTTGGACCACTACCAAAGTATCTTCAGTTCATGCTTTACACGCTCAGGTTTTGTGTGCCATGACTGTACATCCCGCGAAAAACACAGTGCACCAATCTATTGTGCAAATTGCAGCCTATGTCCAGTTGGTACCTACTCGTGTACTGATGGATCCCGCTGTCTACCGTGTCCTGCAGGTAACGAGAAGAAACAATTACTTTATCGTTGATATAAGTATCGTAAAAAGACAAGTAATAAGGAATCACTTTATTTGTCTGGCTAGATCATTATATCTAGTCATTATTCTTTCCTTTGTGTATTTTTTTAACTTTGGAGATGTCTTATGCAATTAAACGATGCTGGTATACTGTGTTATGGCTTACTCTAGGGTATACTTCTTTTATCACAAGTGAATTGGAAACCAACAATAATTTTGATAATTCAATATAATAGCTGATTCTCCTTTATATGCTCAGATAATCCACCCGTAGAACCGTATCCATGCTCTATGATATCTTCACAGGGGGTTTTTATCAGGATGAAATGGGACAAGATGATTGCAAAAGATGCAGCATTGGTACATTTGTTTCTGAACAGCGAAGTCCTGGGACTACAGCTGCCGACTGCGTGGCATGTCCATACATTCTTAGCAAGAGCGAAAATAAAGACAAATTTCAGAAAAAAGGAACACCTTACCGTTTTTAACGCTTTCGAGTAAGATTTCAACTACATGTATAAATGATGAACTCCGTCTTTTTTTTTCTACTTCACAGGAAACGGAATTCTACATGTGAAGTCAATTTGGCGGTACGTTACCTTCAAGCCGATCCGATGTTTCAGGTTCCTTCGTCAGGGAGTATCACGTCTCAAGAATAGAGTGGTCACAAGAACAGGAACATCCGATGAACTTTCACACTTGATTGAAGAAAGCAACTGAAGAACTTCCCCGAAATATTTGTCTTAAAACTTTTTGACTATGCCTCATGAATATCTTGCTCTAGGTGGCTTAAACGCCTAGAGCTTTCGTTGAAATCTTTCTGGCTATTGTGAGACTTCTGGGTGACATTTCATTGTAACTAAAGGCACTAGCTACTCCTACAAAGGCTGTGTTCTTCAAAATGCAATGCATAATGTTTTTGATCTCTGATTTAAAGTGCAACAAAAAACGTTGAAAATTATATCAAGGTTATTTTTGAGTAAAAAAAAATTTTTTTGGTTAGTTAAGAAGTAGGATTCCTCGCACCTTCGAGCATATATGACTTTGACGCACCATATATATTTAAGCAATAAAGCACACTTTCTATCAGTTTGCCGACGTAATGGCTACTGAACTAATTGCTCTGTTTGAATTTTTTTTTATACAAAGTCAAACCTTTATTCGTTTGAAGCATATAATAAAAACTTCAAATGGCGTATCACCTTAAATTTGGACAAAGACCGGGCTGTACCATTGATATTAAATACACTCGGCTTTACTTTTTTTTTTGTTAGTTCTGAGATATTCAGCCTCATAGCACGAGTCTCACACCACGAGTCTGTTTTTTTTAAAACTGATTTTAAAAGATCCAATTTTAGATCAGTATTTGGACAAAGAACTTCCATTTCTAAACGTTAAATACTTGTACAAATCTCTCATTTCGATTTTTTTTGTTCTTCTGGCGTGACTAAATTTGTTGATAGCTGCTAACGGTCTCTAGGTCTAGTTCAATCTTTTGCTTTAAAGAAGCTCATTCGGTGGCAGATTTTTAAGTTTGCAGATCCAGGCGTATTCTTTCTCTGTCTTTAAGTAACTGTGTCTGGTGAATATTTTCTGTCCATTCCCTCGTTGACTGATAAACCTAGTGGAGGGTAAAGATTTTGCTCCTTTTACAACGAGCCAGATTTTTCCCCTATGTTTTTACATCGCCAGCTGTAAAGAAATGAGACTCGGGATGAATTGAGGAATGTCACAGTCTCGGCTAGAAGGTGTAACAGATAATGATACAATGCATCATTTTCAATCACGATATCAATCAGGGAGGTTGTCATGAGTAACGAATTACAAAGCACTCAAGCGTCTCGCGTGTGTTCAACGTTTGCAGCTGTTGCGTCCAATTTATTTTTGGCTGTTGTTGTCGCCCGCGTGAATCTCGATGTTCACTTTATTTTGTGCGTGTGAATTTGTCATTCGTGACACCTTATTATCTTAGATATCTTGAAAGGTAATGCCATATCTAACACATGGCTAAATCCAATGAAACTGGAATTAATTGGAGAAAAAAATCGTCGTTCGTCGTTTTATACCTTCAATGCTCTGTAAGTAACATTAAAGATTAGAAAACGAGAGCACTGCAGTAGAAAACCAGTTTGATTTTGCCAGCAATGTAAACAAAAAAAGCTGGTTGGACAACTAAACCGACCAAACCGTCGCTAAGAGCAACGAGAAAATGCATATGTTAAAGACAGTTCGGAGAGCAGAGAATTTGGGAATAACTACCAGCAAGAGGCCATGCCCCCGGTATGGCTAAGACTACCAGCACGGGATTGACAACGCAGATGGCGAGGACATAATCATGTAGTGTTGGTAATAGCTTGAAGCTGACAGCTCTTGAGAGAGGGTTGAGTCTAGGCAAGGTGTTTTTGTTTTCATCGGTGGAGTTTGTATGATATCGCGATGTATGCCATTGATAAAGTAATTTTGGTAGCTACGCTGATATTGAAAACGTCAGCTATAATTAATTGCGGAATGGAGCTGCCATATTGTTTAACAGTATGTTTTATGCTCACAATAAGCCTAAAAAGTTTTACAGTGACAACAATTTTATATTCGCGTCTATTGATAGAAAGGATAAATTGGCTGATATAGCTAAGATAAAGAAAACTCTGAAGTTAAACTTTATTCGAGATTTTGACCGAAAGGAAAGAAAACATGCATGAATACATGCACACACGATGAAAATTTAACAGCTCTTTTTGTTACCGAATTTATGTCCGGTCCCGTTCGAAGTCAAAGGTAAATGCATGCATCGAGATGTCGTAGTTCCTGATAGTTTACCTTTCATAGAATATTCCTTTTTTATCGATTTTTGTGCAAGTTTATACACACAACATGTGGACCGCTTCGGGCTTTTCCAAGTTACTCTTAACACACAAAGTAAGCAAACTAAGTCAGTTCTGGATGATTTCTGTCCTTATTTGAATTCCAAACAGTTGTTCTTGAGGGACAGTCGTGATCATACTTACAATACAAAAGCAGTTAACAGGAATTTAGTCCAATGGTTAACGATCGGTGAACTAAAAGTGTTCTTATATTCTATTCACTGTAGTGCCACTCGCTTTCTTCCTTTTGTTCCAGGTTTTAAGACTGAAATTTCACCATTTAGGGCTTAAGAAAAGAGACAAGCAGAGAAAACACTATAGGTTATGGATACGAAGAAAAAAGGGAAGAAAGTGGAGAATAAAAAGTGTTTTCTTGCTGAAGCTATCGTAAAAGTTTTTTTTCTGAAATGACCTATTATGAATAGGATTTTAAAAAAAATTTAGTCTACAAG